ATACGGTCAATGATCCCAGGGAAGGGGAAAAAAAAAAATATATATATGTGGGCCCCTTGGCACACGCACGCACACACACACACGGGCGTGAATCCATCACACAAGTGTGGGTTTACACGCGAGTCATCATGCCCCCTTACAAACGCGTCGCAGAAGGATAGTGCCAAACGAACTCAGGCAATGGGCATGATACCTTCTACAATTGCATGGAAGTGTTCAAAGCGGTAATTAAAATAATCGGGAGGGCAAAATATGTTGAAGGAAAAAAAAAAAGGAATTAACTTTTTGGTGACCTCTTCTATAATGCTATGACAAAGACGAATTATATTTCCTGTTAAGGGAATGTCCACATTATTTTCTGCATGGCTAATATCCTTTTGGCGAATGCAAAGATTGTTTAATTTGACTTCACACAGGAGGATGAGAAGGAGAATTTTTTCCATTCTGTTTTTGCAAAAACGGTCAATATCTGTGAGTACATTATTTTTTATTTTATTAATTGTTTCGATTTTAATATTTATGTACATTTCCACCGCGAGAGGAATATCTTTTAAAATGTGTAGGATGAAATTTTTATTATTGTCATTGTTGTTATATGCTTTGAAATAGTAGCAGCTGCTTTTCCTTTCTTTCTGTTTAATTATTTTTAAATCGTCTTCTATGGATTGGTAATTCTCGTAATTTGCGCAGTGAGTAGATTGTGAGGAATGGTTGGGTTGAGTTTTTTTTTTATCCTGTTCGTTTTTTTTGTTTGTCCTCCCCTGTTTCTTTTTTTTTTTTTTTTTATTCCTGTGTGCGTTATGCCCAAATGTGTCCAATCCATTTTGTTCATAAAAAAGGTGAAATTTGTCCCAATTTGTGTGCAACTTTTTTTGTTGGCATTCTGCATTTTTCACCAACTTGAGGTATTCCTTGTATTCCTCCATCGCAAGTGCCTTGAGTTCTTGCATCGGCGCTAGCCTTATTTGTAGGCTCGCCTTGGCCTGCTTCTTCCTGGTGTCCTCTTCCATTGTGTGTGTGCGTGCATGCCCCTACCTACACGTGTCTGCCCACACCTGCACGGGTCAGCTCATACCTGCACGTGTCAGCTCATACCTGCACGTGTCAGCTCATACCTGTACGGGTCAGCTCATACCTGCACGGGTCAGTAAAAGCGGCGAGGGTTCTTATAATCAAAGGTATCATTGAGTGGGTACTTGGCGTGGAGGTACTTTTCGTACAAATGAACCTTGGACTTGTTTGAAGAGAATTTAATTTGAAAACACTTAATTAGGTTGTCCAGGTTGTCAAACCACACATTCGTGTAATTATCGCTGGAGTGGTTTAGGTTTAGTAAATTAAAGGTGGTAATGTTTGCGAATCGGAAGAGGTAGAACTCCTCGAGGCAGCTGAAGGTGAAGTTGCTGTCAATGACATTTTTCATGCTGGGCTTTCGTCCGAACCAGTAGGGGTGGAACGGGAAGTCGTGCAGCGTTTTGTTCGCCTTTAAGAGCATTTTTGCGTTGGCGTGGCGCGACAACAGTGGATAGTTGCCCACTTACTGGACGGGATTTGCACAAATGGGGGTACTGAGCGGCACACAAGTGGCCACACAAAGGGATGCAGATTCCTACATGCATACGCGTGGGTAGGTATTACTTGGCCCTTTCAGCCCTGCCCTTTTTAAAGACCCAACTCAACATCATCCTTCTGGAGATTTATCCTTACACCATGTAAAAAAAAAAAAAAAAAAAAAAAAATGTGCCTATTGGGCTAACCCCCGTCGCTCCTCAGCACAAACCTTTTTTTTTTTTTTTTTTTACTGCATTTTGATCGTGTTGCTCACAATAGGGCTATAGAGTATTAACATACCGTAAGGAAAAGCATAGGAAATTTTTTGCGTGCGTAAAAATATGGGTTTTTTCCCCCTTTCGCCCCGCCCCCCCACTTAAGGTTTTTTTACGCGTGCACATGGGGTTACTTTACATGCGGAATACATTTCACACCATTGTATGAGCGATGGGGTATGCGGTATGCACTGCGAAATGGCGGTGTACGCGTACACTGGTCACCTTTATATACCCCCGTTTACGGCCTTTGCCCCTCGGGGCTATAATTGTACCCATTGAGGGAATTTTTTTCCGACAAGGTGGTAAAATAACGCAAATCGTCAAGGCGCCAAGTGCACAGCGTTATGGAAAAGCCGTTCAGAGGAAAAATGTGCCCCCACCCCACCGGGTGCGCGCCCATGCGTCGTGGCAACCCTCTCCTCACTAGGCTGACAAAATGTACATACGCGTGTACATGTACGTGGAGCGGCGGGTACGCACTTTGCCCAGCTCGGGACGGTAAACACCAAAATTGTGTTATTCTTTGCTTTTAAACAAAATTCTCATGAAAGGATTTTTTTTTTTTTTTTCCTTCATTTTTTATATTTTTTTTCATTTTTTGTTTTTAAGCTGAAATTTTTTTTTTTTTTTTTTTGCAAATCCTCACAAGAATTTTTCATTACACCCCCCCTATGCAAATGTATTTAATTTTATACGTACGTTACGAGCGAACGGACGATTGAGGGATTGAGGGATTGAGTGATTGAGCGGTTGAGAGAGCTTACGTGCCCTGTATTTATGCGTGTATGCAAATGTTCAACAGCATATTCTTCTGTGCGTATACGGTAGAAGCAACGCTTATGTAAATTCAGGAGCGTGATAACCTCCGTGGCATTTTCGGCCAGCGTGAGCGAAATACGGGCGTACCCTAAGATATGTGAACGTCCAAGTACATACGTATGTATATATATACATGCGTATGAACACGTGCGTATGTGCGTACATATGCTCTTTGCCTACTCATATGTTAAACGAAGTTCGCACCCCCTTTATTCTTTTTTTCCTTCCCGTGAAGGTGTAAAGCTTGCGTGTATTCGTGAATTTACATTACGTGGGCGAGTTCGTTTTTTTTCCCATATGTGCGAATTAATTTTAACAACCATTCGAAACGTAGGCAGTTGACCGCTGACCAGGTGACACAGAGCAGCCGACTGCTGACCGGTTAACCGAGAACCAGTTGACAGTTGGACGGAGCTGTACCCCCTCCCCCCACTACACACACCCAAATTTTTTTTTCTTCATGTTCCAATTTGCATTCCCACGCATATAAAAATAATATTGTTCATGTATATATCTCTATATGAACATATTTGAAACGTAGATTTGTTGAAAAAAAAAAAAAGAAGAAAAAAAAAAAAAAAAAAGCGAATTCGTACTTTCGTTTTAATGCTTTCCTTTTCCCCCTTATTTTTATTATTATTATTATTTTTTTTTTTTTTTGCATTATTATAAGAGAATTAAGTTAACCTTTTGATCGTTTTGTTTATCTGTGTTTAATTTTTTTTTTTTTTTCTCCTTGTACTCCCAACCATACCCCATTTGTAACCCGTCGTTTATGTTTGCATAACGTTGTGTGCTTAAAGAAAAAGGGAAAAAAAAAAAAAAAAAAAAA